TGTCTGCTAGACGTCAGCATTAGTCGCATGTGCAAAAATGACGCATGTAACCATTCAAAAAAAGGAAAACAATTTAGCACTTGATAGGTGTGCATGGACTCAATTGTGTGCGTGAAAAATTTCGCACCAGCGTCAGTAAATGCTTTAAGATCCCCAGTAAACTGTTGAGTTTTCAGTAACACCCTTGCAAACTATCTATCCACTCTGCAAAGATAATAAAATGATGAATCAGAATGTATTGAGATTATAAGGTATTGCGGCTTTCTCTAGTGCATGCTAAACTTCAAACTCGATTCCAGAGTCCATAGATGTTCAATCGATTCAATGAATCACCTGTCTTCGCATTAACACTTACATGCAAACACTTTGAGCTAGATCACAAAATGTAAGTTCCGAAAGTAACAACCCTCCTAAAATGGCAATCCACGAAAGTAGCAAATGTAACTGGGGAAAAGAGCACACATTTATATGTAAGATCTTGTTAAGAAATAGAACAGTTCAAACCCCATTTGACGGCCACCCTTGGGGAAAGGGATAGTGGCCACTTAAAAGGGGAAAGAGAGGAATAAACATAGAAATTGCCCCACTGGTATATTAGCCGCCTTATAGGGGTGGCAATTTAATAGAGGTTGGACTGCATGGCAAAGAAAGGGATTTCCACACGATGTAGTATTCATCGTGATTAGATTTCGATTTTGCTTTCTTGTTTTCAGCAAATCCATCATGATGAAACCAGTCACTTTACCATGTGGGCATTCTACATGTATGAATTGCTACAGGAGACTTCTGGAGATAGAAGAACAAAAAAACAAATCTACCGCACTTTGCCCTGAATGCCGAAAGCACTTTGGCAGAGAGGCATTAACAATTAGCTCTGCCATGGACAGGGTTACAAGCAGTCTGGAAGTTCAATGCTTGAACAAGGATTGTGGGTGGAAAGGGCAACTGGAAGAGGCCGAAGACCATAACCGGCAGTGCCCCAGTCAGGCTAAAATATCATGCCCCCTTGGCTGTAACAAGAAGCTACTTTGGTAATTCAAATATCTTGATTTTCTTTTTGTTATCGAATGCTTTTAAAAATACATACACAGTCATACTTTAATGGAGGGTGGAGGTTTTTTATCTTTAAGAGAGTAATCCTGCTATACTGTGCACTTCCTCTCTATTGAAGCACGTAAAAAAAAACAAACAAAAAACATCGAGCGAAGCGAGCACGAAGCATGCTTGGTCCCACGCGAGCAGCTTGGTCCTATCTACTACCCAGTCAAGTCTTCCATTTCGTGCTAGCGTCCAGTTCTCTCGCGATTCTATCCGTGCATTCAATGATCAAATGAAAATATGAGAAAATAAAAATAATATTTAGGAATTGAATCATGGCAGTGTAGTCACGCTATTAGTAAAGGGGTAAACTTGTTGCGAGTAAGTAAAGCTTTTGTTTTGTTCAGGCTTTGGACTTTGTGGTTTGGCCGGGAAAAAGAACTTAATTGTTCCCACTTCGTTCCAGAATATATCCAGTTACAATCGCATATGTAACTTGCATTCATGCTTTGGGAGAATTAACTTTATGTATTGAACAAAACTGGATTGTGTAATTTTATAATTGCAGGAGTCAGGTTGCAATCCACTTGAGTTCATGCCCAATGAAGGTTGTAACTTGCAAAGTAAAAGGATGCAACCTGATGTTTCAGAGGGCCTTGTGGGAGGACCACATGGTCTCCTGTGCTCTAAGCCACTCAGTTCTATACGAGGGCGAAATACAGAGACTACGTCTTCAACTATCCGGCCAGA